TTTTTTTTTTTTGAGACAGAGTCTTACTATGTTGCCCTTGGTAGAGTGCTGTGGCATCACAGCTTACAGCAACCTCAAACTCTTGGGTTTAAGTGATCTCTTGCCTCAGCCTCCCAAGTAGCTGGGACTACAGGCGCCTGGCACAATGCCTGCTATTTTTGGTTGAAGTTGTCATTATTGTTTAGCTGGCCTGGGCTGGGTTTGAACCCACCAGCCTTGGTGTATGGGGCTGGCACCGTCACTACTGTGCTACGGGTACTGAGCCAATATCATGGATTTTGATCCTCAGTGCTCTATTATTTTGACTGTCTAAATTACTCTATATTATTTTGAATTTAAACTTTTAAATTCATGTTTTATGAAATACTTTTTTTTCTTTTTGAGATAGTCTCACTTTGTCACCCTGGGTAGAGTGCCATGGTGTTACAGCTCACAGCAACCTGAAACTCCTGGGCTGAGCAATCCTCTTGCCTTGGCCTCCCCAAGTAGCCAGGACTATAGGTATGTACCATCACACCTGGCTAGTTTTTCTATTTTTAGTAGAGGTGGGATCTCGCTGTGGCTCAGGTTGGTTTCAAACTCCTGAGCTCAACCAATCCACCTGCCTTGGCCTCCCAGAGTGCTAGGATTACAGGTGTGAGTCACTGCACTTGGCTGTAATAAATGTCATTATAAAAATAGGATTTTAAAAAGTCACTTGTCTCAACTGCCTGTAACACCTGAAAATAAGGGCATGTTGACACAGGATTGATTTATATAAGAGTTTGCAACCTGGTTGAGGGAACTTATATTCTTTTTAAATTTTTTTTAATGTAATGCTTTTTTAAAGAGAGAGGATCTTGCAATGTTGCCCAGGCTGGATCAGCAGGGATGTTTTGACCTCCCTTTTAACCCTGGGCCAGTTCACCCCTCCTTTGGCAACCTAGTGTTCCTCTGCTCCTGGGAGGTCATCATATTGATGAATTTAATGCAGACACCTAGTTGGCATAGCACACTCCAGCCCAGAACTCCTAGACTCAAGCAGTTCTCTGCCTCCCAATCAGCTGGGAGTTCAGATTCGCGCCACCACACTTAGTGGGAATGTATACCCTTTTGGGATACCTGGAAAACTTCTGGATGTGACATCAGATCCTTGACCATATTGATAGCCAACAGGAGTCGAGTCCATTTCAGCATCAATTTGTGTTTGTTCTTCAGTTTGGGAAACATGGCTGGAAGAATCAGCTGTCCGGGCTTCTCGTTTGCTTGACTTATAATGAGCAACGTCAGAAGGTTGTGACAATCTCAAATGTTTGGTCTTTTTAATGGGATCTTTCCTTTGTTCATGCTTGGCCAGAGGTTGTGGAGTATTCCTCTGGGAGGCTGAATGATAATTATACTTACTCCAAGATTTTCCACTTATTATACCTGTTCCTTGCTCTGGGCTTAGGTGAGCATGTGGAGAACTGCCTTCTTCTTGCCAGCCACCACTATAAAAAGAGGAACGGTCTATGCCATTAGAGTTGGCATCTTTATCTGAGAGACTGAAATAGCGATCTTTTTCTTTCTCGCTGATATCTAATGAAGATTTAATAAAAGTCTTGCAGACACTAATGACATCCGTCATCTGAAGGAAGCTAGCAGCCGACATCACTTCTATGACGTTCTGACCGGTAAGAGATAGTTTGCCAGAATAGACAAAGTCCAGGATAACTGTAAAAGTGTCAGGGGAGAACGCCTGAAACGTAGCTGTGGTTGGCTGACTTGTCTCCTTTGAATTCTGAGAAAGAAGCATTTTAAAGTAGCCACTACTAGCAAATAATACATTTCGATGTGCTTTGAAGACCTTCCCCTCGACTAGAATACTGCAGTCACAAAATACATCTTGCCTGCGCTGTTCATTCAGTTGTTGCAGGAGGTGGGACTGGTGAGAGGAAATCTCCATTCTGAAGAGGAAAAGACACACGTGTTACCGGGAACTAAAGAACAATCCTTGTGTAAGGTGAGTCAACTAAAATAACGATCAGATAGATGCCTTTACATGCAAAACACTTTCTTCTTGGAAAATTTAGTCCCCAAGACACAAGGTTATAGGTTTCAAGGTATCATTTAAAACTATAATATTAGTTGTTAGATTTCTAGAAAATTATTTGTTTTATCATTATTGGGCATCTTCAATAAATCAGTCCTTCCACTGTATGCCAAACAGACTTGATTATTTTATTTATTTATTTATTTTGAGACAGAGTCTCAGTTGCCCTGGGTAGAGTACTGTGGCATCATAGCTCACAGCAACCTCAACCTCTTGGGCTCAAGAGATCCTCTTGCCTCAGCCTCCCAAGGAGCTGGGACTACAAGTGCCTGCTACAACACCCAGCTACTTTTTTTTAGAGATGGGGTCTTGCTTTTGCTCAGGCTGGTCTGAAACTCCTGAGCTCAAGCAATTTGCCTGCCTCGGCCTCCCGGAGTGCTGAGATTATAGGCATGAGCCACCACCCCTGGTAACAGATTTGATTCTTGCTTTCATATAATTTCCAAGCTAGAGGAGGGTATCAGACATTACACAAAAACTTGTATGAAGATATAATGACAAGGCTTGGTGCCTATAGCTGAGCGGGTACACCAGGGCTGACAGGTTCCAACCCAGCTCAGGCCTGCCAAACTATAACAACAGCAACAAAAAATAGCTGGGTGTTGTGGCCAGCACCTGTAGTCCCAGTTACTTGGGAGGCTGAAGCAAGAGAATCCCTTAAGCCCAAGACTTTGAGGTTGGTGTGAGCTATGATGCCACAGCACTCTACTGAGGGCCACAAAGTTAGACTCTGTTTCAAAAAAAAAAAAAAGAAAATGTATAAAGACAAGTTAAGTGCTAAAACAGAAAAGAGTGCTAAGAATAGTACACAGGTTGTGGGTGACGTGGCTCACACCTGTAATCCCAGCACTTTGGGAAGCTGTTGGCTTTGCCTTCAAAACAGCAAAATCCCATCACTTTACTTCTCTCCAGTACTGCTACTGCCACCTGGATCCAAGTCACCATCATATTTCATCTTGTAAACTAAAATAAAATACTAAGCCCCTCAACTGACTGAACAGACCCCCCCTTGGCCCTAAAACTGAGTTCCTGTCCATGACAAGAAGGAAGGTCAGACATGCCTCATTATATCCTTTCCCTTCAGAGTTAGACACAATTGACTAATGTTAATTTTAATCGTAAAACTGACAAAATAGACTTTTTTTTTGCAGTTTTTGGCTGGGGCTGGGTTTGAACCCACCACCTC